GCAATATCTAATTCTTCATTTATAGCAAGTATACACAGACCTGAATTTTTATATATACCTTGTGTTTTCTAATCATGCTAAATTCAAATACAAGTTCTAGGGGCTCCTAGAGATTTCTTAGTATTTTCTCTGTAGATGATCATTTCATCTACACATAAAGATTTTGTTTCTACCTTGCCAATCATATGCTAATTGTTTCTTTTTATTGCCAGACTATTTTTGTCTGGGCCTATGTTTCAAAGTTTAATGGACAGATGAAGAGTTGGCATATCTGCCCTTGTTCCCCACCTTAGGGAGTAAGCATTGTATCTTCTCCATTCATATAAGGCATTTTTGCTGGAAGTATGGAATACATGGCTTATCTGTCGAGAAGATTCTGTTCTACTTCTAGTCTCCTGAGAGCTTTTACCATGAACAGCTATAGAATTTAGTCCAATACTTTTTCTGCAACTACTGACAGGATCATATGTTTTTTTTCTTTCCTCTGTTAAAATGATGTCTTTTGGGGTTGGATCCTCCAATGCTGAACCAACAGTGCCATCCCTATATTAAAATCACTTTCTATATACTGCCAGGTCTGACTTCTAATAGTTTGTTTGGTTCAACAAATTTCTATCTATGTTCATACTTTTTTCTTCTATTGTCTTTATCCAGTTTTAGGATTAGCACAATGTTGATTTCTTAAAATGAGGGGAGAAGTGTTCATTCTTTTTTCTGCTTTAAATGTTTGATATAATTCATCAGTTAAAATGTATATGATCCTGTTGCTGTCATATAGGTAGGTTTTCAAGATAGGAATATGCTTTCTTTAATAAGTGCTATTCAAATTTTATTTTTCCTCCAGAGTCAGTTTCATTAATTTTATTCTAAGGTACTTCTTAGAAGTTGTCAAATTTATTTCAAAAAAGAGTTTTGTAATATGCTGTCTATATCTTTTTAAATTCTGTAAAATCTGTGGTAATGTCCTCTAAATTTTGATATTGTAATTTTTAAAATGTATTATTGATATTGTGTAATA